TACCAGGGAGAGTGTGTTGTAAGGAGGACCGCTGCACCACCCCCAGGGTGGGCAGGGCTGGACTCCCAGACCCTCTGAAGTTACTAGAATCGAAGATGCTCGAGTCCCTGATATGACACGGCACAGCTGCAAGTATCCCACACAGTCCCCTGTACCCTTTAACATACAGCCCCACATTCCTGACACTGAGTACAGTGTGGATGCTATGGGAATTGTGCTGTGCTGTTTAGGGAATCATGACAAGAAAAAAGCCCATGTTCAGTACAGACCCAATTGTTTTCAAATGTTTTTGATTTGCTTTGGGCTCTCAGCTCTGAAGGGCCATCATTGCCAGTCTCCAGAGTGGTGACGCTTTCTACTTGTCCCCTGTAAGCTTCTGCTGTGATGAGTGAGAGCAAAACCTGGGGAGATTTGTGGGGGAGCTGAGCCCAGACTGGGGCAGCCCTGCTGCCTGTCACTCCCTGCCTGATTTCAGCCACCCGTCCAGCCACCCTCTTCTTGCCCCTTGTCCCTCCTTGCCAGGCCCACACACTGTCCACCTCTGGCCATTGAGTTGGAATTGGCAGGTGACACCTCAGGAGGGGTTCCATGCGGTAAATGATATTTTGGGGTGGGGAGGAGTTCCAGAATGGTTTGGATTAACCACACCAGGCTCCCCAGTAAGTGCCCTGGGGAGGAGAGATGCTGGCCGGGGTCTCCAGCCAGAGCAGGCTCTGGCCAAGACTGGAATGCTGGTGCTCCCGATCCCTCAGGGTGCCAGGGCACACTGGGAAGGGAGCTAGCGGGTCACCCATGGCACCCAGGGCTTCCTGTGGCCTCTCCAGAAATAGGATCTGTTTGCTGTTGCCATGTTCCCATCCCTGATGTGGAGGGGACTGGTGGTTGTCCTCTTGCCACTATCAGCTCTGTTGGGCTGACCCAGTGCATGTGAGTGGACCTGGGAGGAAGAGTGGGAAAGCAAGGCTGGGGCTGACTCCAGCACGAACTGGTGGTTGCCAGCCCACCTGAGCAGAGCGGCTGTTGAGAGAAGAAGTCTGTCCTCTCTCTTCTCAGGTTTTCCTCCAGCCTCCCAAACAGTTGCTTGAGGTCCATGATGAGCCCAGGTGGCGGGCAGGTCAGGTGTTGCTGCACCCATTCCCCAGGTGGCGAGAAGGAGCCTTGGGCAAGCTAAATGGCTTGCACAAGGGCATGTGGAGGGCTGGGTTGGGCTCCACAGTTAGACTCCTCCAGACTCTGCTTGTCTCATTAGGCACAGGGACTAAATGAAAGCAGCTACACGAGTCCCAAAGAAGGTTACTAAGATAATACATGTGAACTCACTCTGCAAGCTGCTTTTCAATGCCAGTAATTTTTACTACTCTAATTAGGACTAGTTTGACAATCTTTTGTTTCTTAACCCAATGCCCTTTTCTTCAAAATTGCTTATTCATCCATCCATTCATGTAGTGAGTTTTGAATGTTTGCAGGGAGTCAAGAGCTCCTCTGCTCCTGGAAGTAGGAAGCTAAAATAGACAACCAGGAAAGGGAGCTCAGGCTAGAGCCAAGTCAGGCTGCAGAGGTGGGTGTGGGTGTCACCAAAATAAATGAGTGAGCAAAGTTGGGAGGGCGTGGAGCGGTGTTAGTGCGGGGCTGTGCTGTGGTTGGAGAAGCACTGGGGCTTCACGGCTTCCTCGAGCACAGGACCTTGTGTCCATTGTGGGATAGGATCTGTTCTCCACAACAGCGAGGGGCATGGAAGGGGAGACCACTGCCTTTGGGCCCTGCAGGAATGGCTGTACTCACTGTACAATGTGAGTCCAATGAGGTTGAGCTGGCCTGATTTGATTTTTTTAAAAAATCTAAATAAAATGTCTAAGCAGTGTCTTCACTCAGAATGGGTAGATTTCATTCAAATGAAAAAGAAAAAAAAAAAAACCCTCCAGAATTAGATGTCTCAGTTGCCAACTTGAAGCTACAGGGGACAACTTCCCAATGTGGAGCTTGTTGCTTCCTGCTCGGCAGTTAGTTATGATTGATCATTCTGAAGTCCGGTTACAGCTGGTTTCCATTGTCCTATGGAATAAGCACGTAGCTCCAGAGAGTGATCTCAAGACCACCTTGGCTGGTGCAGTTTCAGTGGCATCAGGTCCAGATTGGACTCAGGCAGCTGACAGCGGCCCAAGTCTCAGTTCTAGCTGCTTTGATTCCCTGGAGACCCCAGTGTGGAGGAGAAAGTGAATGAGTTGTGCCTGCCACACAAGTTTTTTGAGCTGACCCAATGCCCTGTGTTGGCCAGTCGCCCCTGGCACATTGGCACGCGTGTGCACGTGCGTAAGTGCATGCACCCCATGAACACTTGCATTCTGTAGCTTGGGAAATCAAGTTTGGGAGTTTAAGTGGGTGCCTGGCATCAAGAAGAAAGCTCCTGATGATTCAGCCTGTCAGCTGTATTTGGCTTCTTAGGAATTCGATGGACTCAAAAAAACTCGGGCTCCAAGCATTGGTGCCTTCCAGGATGAAACTAGAACTAGAAGTCCTTCTGCGTGTCAATGTCTGCTGTCCCCACAAGTCATCCTCACAGAAGCTTTACCCACGGCAGTGCTTGGGCACATTTGAAGAACCAGATTTTAGTGCTGCAAAGGATTTCTAGTCCAGCCTCCCTCCTTTCATTTTTCCTAATGAAGTATCTGAGGTCCTAAAGGAGAGGAGTACAGTGGTCAGTCTTCTTTGTTAGCTGGAACAAGTGCATAAGTTGCTGCCCCCAACATAACGTGTACAGGTTGTTCACTGAGCAAAAGCACCCAGGCAAGGGAGTGGGTTGGGTCTGAGCCCCAGTCTACAGCTGGGCTGAAGAAAGCAGGGCTTTTTCCTTTCACAGAGGTGCCATCTACTCACCGAGCAAGTGTGGGGCCATGTCTGACCCAAGAAGTGTCTGCATTTGAATAGATACAGAATGCTAGAGCATAGGCAGCGGAAGTCAGGTGGCTGAGCCTCGTATGGCTTTATTGATTTGGTCTTTCCTTTGGCAAGTGGAAACAGTGAGTCTGCTCCTCTGTGACCCATGACATGTGTGCGTGTACCTATCCCTATGTGTCCTCTACGCACATCATGTCTGTCTGCCACTGCCTGTGCTGCTGGGATGTAGCGGGTAATAGATGAGAGTGGAGGCACAGGGACCGGGGCACCATGTAGGCACATCTGAACACCAGAGGAGGACTCTGCCTGTTTGTCAGGCTGGGCTGTAGGTGCTTCCTCTGGCCTCTAACAGAATCCTGTGAATGGTGTCATGATGTGCAAATCCTGGGTCTGAATGCCACCAGAGGAGGTCATGGGCCCCGAGGCAGAAGACACTGAGCAGCAGCAAGGCCATGATGCAGCTCAGGAGCAGGGACTGACCCGTAGCCACCCAGAGGCAGGCAGACAGAGGGAAGGGCCAACATGAAATGTGAAGAGACGCTCTGAACATGTTTGCAGAAGTCAGGCAAACCAGTCAGGTAGGTCAGTCATAATTCTGTCCATTCTTTCTCAGAATAAGAAGTAAATTAGGCAGTTGTTTGTACTTTCCCTACCCCTTGATTTTGTTCCCTTATGAATTCCTGTGGCACACTCTGGGACCTGCAGTAGACAGAGTTCCTGTCCTGGGGTCTCAGAGCCCAGGACAACCAGAGTTTTAACACCTACTCCTCCCACTTCCTCTGAATCTTTTGAAGAAAGGTAGCCTGATTTTCCTTGCTCCCTTTAGCAGTAGGGCTCATGAGAGGTGATCAGAAAGGTCATACAAGCCTGGGCCATGGCGTAGATACAGTGTGAGACTCTGGAGAACAGGGGCTCTGACTCACCTTGCAGACTCAAAATCACTTCTGTCGGGCACTCAACCACTGCGTTACCTGCTGTGAAGACCCAGGAGATAAAGCCATTGAACTGTGTGCCCTTTGTCGGCCAAGGTGTTTTTGTTTGTTAAATCCTAGTTCCAAGCTGTCTTCCAAGCTTCTCAGCAGAACTCAGGCACCATGTGACTTTTCACGGATCCTCACAACATGGGGCTTTTAGCACGAGCATGTGTCACCTTTCCAAGGAAATGTCCAGAAGGAGCAGCCAGCCAAAGCATCATGCTGTCATCCTCACAACAGTTATCTAAGGAAGCTTTTGCTATGATCTATGCAGCAATTAATGCAAAATTATGTCTTTGTCTGTATCAATTGATCAAAAACACAGCTAGGTAGTTTCTCTTGCCTCAGTGGTACCTGAGATCTTGGAAGGGACTCATGAGTGGAGAGGACTTAGCACAGGACCTGTGTCTCTCCCCCTTCTCCACAGGTCAGATGGTGGTAGCCTTCTACAGAGCCTCAGCAATGGGCCTGGCACTTCACACACTTCACAGGTGCTAATTCATGTAATCGGCATGACTCCCTCTCCATAGATCTCACTTTATCTAGGTCAAATCATGTGTGCAAGGTCTACAGCCAATCGTTAGAGGATCCAGCACTTACATCCAAGTTTCTCTGATGGGCGAGCCCATGATCTTGTCCAAATACCAGTTTGCTTCTCTCCTAGATACTAGAGAGGCACCCGTGGGTCTGGGGGCGAGCAGATTCAGGAGCAATGATGGAGCCATCCCTGCTTGCTCTGGGTTTGAACCATCATGGTAACTAACATGGAATGGGAGCTGTGATGGCAGTGGTTAGGTCATAGCATATCAGACTTGGGCTTCTACCACTGCCAAGCCTCAAGTCCCATGGTCATGAATGCGGATAGTAATGATGCTTACTCATACTACTTGGCACAGTGCTCCCAGGGGCTTGGACAGCACCAGCCACATGGAAACTGCTCAGTACCTTTCAGAGGGCAACATGCAAACAGTTATCAATGACCTTCCTATGGATTAGTCTGGTGAAACATGTGAAGTCCTAAAAATAGAATTTCAACAGGGCTAACAGCTGGAGATCCAGCCCTGAGTGAGGTGCTTGGGGCTCCTGGGTGGGGTCCCTGCACACTGTGGCCTTGGGGTTCTTATTTTCCAGTCATCACCATATTTAAGGGTAAAGTGGAGGAGGTGGAGCTGCCCGTGGAGAAGGTGGACATCATCATCAGCGAGTGGATGGGCTACTGTCTGTTCTATGAGTCAATGCTTAACACGGTGATCTTTGCCAGGGACAAGTGGCTGGTAAGTGTCCCCCCATTGCTGTGCCCACATTGGCCTGCTGGCTGTCTTGCTCTTATCCTCATGGCCCACGGCCCAAGAAAAATACGAGAACTTCAGAGAGAACTCAGACCAGATGGTCGCCTTTCCAGGTCCCTCTCTTTAAAGCGGGTCTGCTTCAGGGGACAGAGTGATCATCCCTGTCCAGGGAGCCCTACTGTCAGAATGTGCTTCTGTCTCTGACCTTGACCTCTTCTGCTGCAGTGGAGCCCGGTTTTCTCTTGTCAAGAGGAAGGTCCATTCTGCTTGACAAGACCGGGGCTTGAGTGGCTGCTGGGCAGCAGTGTGCTGCTCACCGTGGCTTTCCCAGGCTAAAGCTGTAATGCTCTCATTGCTCCTCCCTGGGTTTACCTTCACCCTGCTTCATTTGTTTTTTTGGCTCCACCCAGGCCCCTCAAATTCTCCAAAATAAACATACTTTGCTATCCCAGCCCTGACCCTGGTCAAGGTGACATCCCGCTGAATGAGAAATGCTGGCAGGGGGGTGCTTGCCTGGTGACTCTGTGTGCAGTTCAAAATGTGATGTCTTTGTCAGGTGAATAGATTACAAGACCCATTTCCCCACAATTCATCAACAGAAACCTGGAGGGCTTATGTTTCCAGACCGGGCTGCTTTGTACGTGGTAGCAATTGAAGACAGACAGTACAAAGACTTCAAAATCCACTGTAAGTCACCCTTGGACCTTTGTTGGACTTCCCCTGCACTATGGGGTGGGAGATTCTTCCAGGAGCCTGAGAGGAGCAGACAGCATCTGGGACCCACTACAGTCCCTGTCGGAAGTGACTTTTTCTGGACTCCTCTAGAGCAAAAGTAATACGGCTGACAAATGTCCTGGGTCAGGGGATGGATGCGAGGAGAATGCAGAACGAGTTAAAGGGCAGAAGCTGAGTTTATGTGGAGAACGGCCTGGCATGTCACGACTAGCCTTTAGCTGCTCAGTTCTCAGAATCCATCGCAGTGGGTCTCCAGCCAGGGCTCCTCCAGGCTCCCATATCTGTGACAGTGATGATTTGTGCTAGGTAAAATTCAGGTTCTTCTCTGAGGTCCTTTGGGGGTGGGGAGGACAGTGGAGACTTTGAACAATCCATCTTGTGTGTGTACATGTGTGTATACCTGTGGGGGGGGTAGGGCAGGGGACTCACAGTGACCTCAGACGCCTGGTCAGCTAAAAATGAGCTGTTCTCTTAGAAAAACAAGAGTATTTTATCTGGCCCACCATGGACAGTTTTGTTTTATTTCATTTAAAAGGCAACATTTCTCAGCAGCATAGCTCTGGTCCCTAATGCACTCACACCAAGCATGTTTTGTAAGGTTAGACACAGCCACGTCTCCTCACTCGAACCGCATGTGATGAAGGGGCAAAGAACCTGTCCGACATGGTCAAACCGAAAGTGTGAGGTGGCAGCTCCAAGTGCCCAGCGGGACCAGTACCTCGGGTTCCTGCCAGACAGGGTGGCGGGGGGTGAGCCCTGCTTTGTGGGTCAGCGCAGAGGGATTCTCAGCCTGAGCAGGTCAGTTCTGTCCTGCTGCCAAAGAACGACTTCCAGTTTCACCGTGTCACTCCACTGATCCCAGCAGTTGTCACCTAATCAGTAGTGCCACCAAGCAGCACCCAGGGGACCGTGCTCCCCAAAATGTGTGTCTGTGTGTTTCCACACCGCACTAGGAATGGAAAACCGGAGCAAATGATTCCGGGCCAAGTGCAGGAAAGGTGGGGATGAACTCGTCCGAGGTCTGTGCTCTAGACACCCATTCAGATCTCTCGGTCCGCTGTCATTTCTGACATCTGACCTCAAGAGGAAGGGAAGCAAGTCTCCGAAAGACAGAAGTGAGAGCTGGAGTGGCTTAGTTTCAGACTGCGAAGCCAGCCTCTCCAGGCTTAAATCTAAGCTTTGCATCTCCTAGGTGGGTAACCTGAGCGAGGGTGCAGTCCTTTGCTAATGTGCTGTCGGGGGTGTTAAGTGAATGGTGAGTGTTGAATGACATAAAAATTTGCAGCGCTACTGGAGACTCCGTGAGAGCAGTCTCAGAAGAGGTAACTAAGCCGAGCCCGGTGGCCCTCGTGTCTGCAAATCTAGGACAGATGCCTTCTCACAGAAGACTGCAGAAGGAACTGAACAGTGCACATTGGTCAAATGCCCATGTAAATAGGACATGCACCGCCCTGGAGCTGTGTTTGGAGCTCGCCTGTCCTAACTATACTGAGCAGTGTTTTGACGAGACTGTTCAGGTGCTTTCTGAGCTCTCACATCCATTTACGTGCTTACGGAGCCCTAGCTCCAGCTCCAGCACTGCTCTTTAAGAAGCTTCCTCCTGGTTTCCAGCACCAGCGGCCACCGGGTTGTATTTGGGAGCTGTTGGGTGTGCACAATACCATGAGCCAGGCTGGTCAGAAGAGCAAAGGGCGGTGTGGGAGAGCCAAGTCGTAGCTGCTGCGACTTGGGTTAGTCTGTGACTGGAGATCATGTGACTTATTCCGTGATCCCCACTGCAGTGTTCATAGCTTCCAGAAAAAAGAAATAATCTGAAAGTCAGACCCCATTTTTTTCTGATGGAATGTTTGCTCTGGAGTATATAAAACGATTCAAACAACCTGAAGCAAAGCAACCCAACATTTAAATTTTAGTTAAAATATTGTTGTTTTCTACTTAAATGTCTTTTGAAGAAATTTTAAAGGAAGTAGACTCAATTGGAAATATGTTTCCAATCGACAGAGGTTTTGGTTACTCTGAGTTCTAAATCCAAAGTAAAGCAGAAAGGTTGCCGGTTGCTAAGGAAACAATAATAAGCAGATTTCAATTGGCTCAAGAACCAGCTAAGAAGGCTAAGACCTAAGTGGGGGCCAGGCACGAGGCATGAACAACCCCTTCAGAACGTAAATGGCTAGGGGAAGAGCTTCCTTCTTTTCCTCTTCTGTCTTCCCTCCGTTCCCTCCCCTCCACATTGTCCTCTCCTCTCCATTCCTTTCTCAGCCACATGCGATGTGAAGATACAAGGATGACTGAGAGGCAGCAGCTGCCCTCATCTTCCTTACCAATGGATAGAGAACCCTAGAAAATGAGATGGGAGGCGTGCACACACTGGCTCACAGGCTCGTCTTGTTGGTGAAGGAAGCGGCAGTAAAGCGGCAGAGCGGAAGTGACGCAGCCCAGCAGTGTGCGAGGTGCAGCAGCGTTTAACTTGGCAAGCGCAACCATTGTTTTAAAATCCTGTCATTGAGATTTGTAGGATCTCAAAATTGGAAGGAAACCTCCAGTGTTTTATTCAGTTCCCTGTCCCAGACGTGACTGTCACTCAGTACATGAATCCCAGCCTGCTAGCAGCAGAGGGTGGCCCAGCTCCCCGACGGAGGAGCCTGAAAGGAGGACCGAGTGGAGGCCACGACCCAGGGCTTTCCTGCTCTGGCTCCACTCCCGATCCACCCCTTTTTTTTTCTTTTTTTTGGTACCGGGGATCGAACTTGGGTCCTTGCGCTTGCAAGGCAGGCCACCGAACCGCTG